TTCCAATTTTAGCAACCATTTTAGTCAGTATTTGAAATTTTCGGTGTCAGAAATGGAAACTGAAATTTGTACCGGAAATGCTAACGGTGGAGTGGTTTTTGCATCTGTTTTGGCCAAATCGATTTTTCCTCGCTAATTTCTGAAATATTTTGGAAGTTGCGCATGCCCTATGCCACCCACCTTGCTCCACGCGAATGTTGGCATAGCCAAGCCAACTGTCAACCATGGGGAAGACGACAAAGTCTAGCGAGATCCACCAGGGTTCTAATCAGTGCCAAGGTATTGTCTCCCACTCAAATTCTGTGATTTTGGTGCTACTCTCAACCAGCTAATAGACAACATCGTCAAGCACCACGCCTAGCTAGAAATCGAAGGCCATGACAGCGTCCATAGTGGCCATGAGGCCAAGGTATTAATCCTAAAACTGTACATATAGCTAGGCCAAGGTGTCGAACAGGTAAGGTGAGTGGATGAACAATCATTAATTAAGACAGCATGGTACAGTGTGGCATGGCAGTGGATGCATGCATCATTGATACTTAAAGAACCTATGAATTCTAACATATAACAAAACTATTAAACTAGAACTTGGTTAATCTCCCCAAATACAGAATAAACAAAAAGGTAGTAACTGAAACTTTAGGCTAACTATTGTCTGCAGCTTTTCTAGTAACTTAAAGTGATAATTTTACACTGAGACTAGCTTATCACTAACACAAAAAACTCATGTACGTAGAGGTCCCCTCTAAAATCAGTAATTCTAAAGTGTAGAGACATTTTAAAATTGCCTAGAACACTTTTACTCTATAGACACTTTAGAGATATTTTTAGTATATTTTTGTTGCCTTTTATATTGTAGGGGCATCTTTCGTCACTTTAAAATTTGAATCATATGCAAAAGCATTTTCTGGAGGCATTTTAACCCTATAGAGGCAATTCTTAGAAATATATATCCTAATAAGTAACTTAGATATAAGTTACATAAGGAACATATCTAACAGTAATGACATGAGAATGAGATGATTATTGCACCGAAGTCAAAAATGATCTAATCAAGATGTCATGAGTACATAGATAGGTGATAATATTTTTTTCTCTATATTTCATATTAGGTTCCTAGGTCATGACTAGGATTTGGGTGCTACTCTCAACCAGCTAATAGATGGCACCATTGAGCACAACGGCTAACTTGAAATAGAAAGCCATGACGGCATCCATGCCGGCCACAAGGCTATGGGTATTAGTCCTTCTGCGCCGTCCCCAATTCTAGCAAAGATCAAGGAGGAAGGGAGAGCATGGGTCAAAGCAGGGGCTGCAATCCTACAGGAGTTCGGAATTTTGAGAGATATCACTTAATACCTGCTTTTTGCCTCTTCTTTTGTGGGTTATTTGTTTGTTTTTCATCTAACCCTTTATATATCTCACTATATTTTTTTCCTGCTCTATTAATATATACAAGGCAAAGCTTTTGCCTTCCTTCAAAAAAATGGGTATTAGTCCTGAAGCTGTACATGCAGTGCAATGTGTGGTACAAAGGTGAGGTGAGTCACCGAACGCAAAGATGACATGGTACAGCGTGGTGTGTTGGATGCTTGCGTCAATGATATCGAACATCAGAGTTTGAATTTCTTCTCATGTAGAGATATGTAACATTATAGTATGTAAAATATTTGCATTAAATTATTGGTTTTGTATCTAGGCGTGTTTAATCAGAATTAGTGGCAACATAGGTAGCAGGACATCATTGAGAATAGTCACATATTATATAGCATGTTATTCAAGGCTTAAAAAGAATCTATGAATACTAACCTATAAGAGAACAAGTAAACTAGAACTCGGTAAATAGAGAATAAACAAAAAAAATGATAATAACTGGAACTTTGGGGTAAGTATATATTGTGTGCAGTTTTTCTAGTGACTTAAAAGTGACAATTTTCCACTGAAAAACTAATGTGGTTCCTTATAGTAAAGAACATACTCACAAGCATATCACTAACACAAAAAACTAATGCAATACAATACTGTAGAGGCTTTTCCCAAAAATGCCTCATAAGTATCTTATGGTGTCACTATAAATATATGCCTTGTGGCATTTTTTATATTAGTTTTTCTGGCTATAAGAGAGTTGAGGCATTGCTAAAGTCAATTTTACCACAACCATAGAAACAAAATGGGAAAAAATATTATCACTTGCTATTGACAATCGTTGTGATCATGACCTGTTGCACTAGATAATTTTTATCTTCAATCCAATAAGCATCTCGATCTCATATCGTTGCATGTACATATGTGACTTGTGTTACTTATATTAGTTGCTTAGCATATATTAACATCTAAGAAGTGCCTCTACAGAGGTTAAAATACTTTAGAAAATGCCTTTAAATATTATGTAAACTTTAAAGTGCAGAAAGGATGCCTATAGGAGAAAAAAGTTCACAAAGTGTCTTTTATTCAATAAAAGTAATCTAGGCAACTTTTAAAATATCTCTAAAAAGTGTATCTACAATTTAGAACTCTTGATTTAGGCAATATTTTTGCGGGCTCTGTTTTCGTTGCTAATTTCCAAAAAAATTCAGAAGTTGCCCTACGCCACCCTTGTGCGCAGCGCGTACTCAGTCATAGCCAAGCTAGCTGACCATGGCGAAGATGACGAAGTCTAGGAGATCCACCGAAGTTCTGATCAATGCCAAAATGTTTGTCTCCAACTCAAATTCTAGGATTTGGGTGCTAATTAAAAAGCTTAGAATTTGGCACCCTCCAAGATGCTGCCAGAGAAATATCCCAGCTGGTGCATGTATTGCTGTGGTTGCTTGTAATTGTGTGCTACATTTCTGGTAATTGAAATGAGGGGCACACCCTTGATTTTTTTAAAAAAAATGTTGTTGCTAGAAATAGTTACTTGAGCCAACCAGAACATTAACATATAGTGGCTGAACCCTGGCCTGCCTATCTCATTAATTTTAAATGGGTTTTCCAAATATCACAGAATGTTCAGAATAAATTTCGGGAAAAATTGAAATTCAAACAACAAACATGGAAAAAATAATGAGGAATTTCATTTGCTTTTGCTAGCTCCTATATGGTGTTACTTATATACCTTGTGCGATATTGTTGTCTCCTTGCATTTTATGAAGCAAACAAGAAAATTTCAGAAATTTGTGGAAAATTAATCTAGGAAAACTTTACTTCATTATCCAATATTTGCTTTGTGAAACCCAAGTCACGGGCCAGCTGGCAACACTTCAGCCATATTTTTTCTTCTGATTTGCTGTGAAGTATTCCAAAAACTTATGTTGTGAAATCTATAAGCTAAAAAAATTCAAACCTAATTATATTAAAAAAAAGTGTTGCGCTGCACCGTTTTAGATAATGGAGATGTATTGCAACCAATGCATTTTTTTTATAACTGATAAAAAGGAAAACATATATTAAACGTGTGCTTATACATTTGAATGCATCATGCCATGTTAAATTTTGATTAAGGGATGGGTGTAAAATTAACTTCTCTTTAGATAGAAGAATAATCTGTTTCTTTAAGCAAGGAGGCTGATAGCCAGTATACTAGTTTAGACCTTAAATAAGATATCAGTTGTACTACTATATATTAAGTTAGAGGATTGCTTTTCTTATTGAGTCGGTTATATATGAGAATTTTGGAGACCTGGAAGGCTAGCACAAATTAATACCACTCAATCAAATCTTTATTTGGCAAAAGCTTAATTTTCAAAACAAAATTCAGTCTGCAGGCACCCAAAACATATTTAAAAAGAGAAAATGGAAAGGCGTGGTGCAATCAATGCGCAAACCTAATTTGTGCGACAAAATTAAACGACCGAGCGAACATATAATCTCATATGTGGACGATTGGTTTGTGGATGGAGATTTCCCTCATGTTGAGATATATACTAGAAACCAAAGAATTTCAAAAGAGCTTATAATTTTCTTACCTCTGTAAGACTGTTGGTTTCAATAAATGCAAGCAGGGTCAGATGCCCTTTTCTGTCTAAAGTTTATGCATGGTCAAAAGATGTATGAAATAGAGAGAGGCATGCAACTCAAATAGTTTTTCATGGAGTTAACAAATCATATATGTGTGTGTATGTGTGTGTATGTGTGAGTGTGTGTGGGGTGTACATGTGTGTGTGTGTGTGTGTGTGTGTGTGATCAAGAATATGCACACATTGATATTATATAAAAGAGTATAATTTGATGGTGCCATAATTCAGGGGCCTTAATTTGTGTTCACTTATTACATAGAATTCATCAGAATTAAGCCATGGATGTATATTTTCATACTAGAGGCTGATAGCCAGTATACTAGTTTAGACCTTAAATAAGATATCAGTTGTACTACTATATATTAAGTTAGAGAGCTATGTACAGGATTGCTTTTCTTATTGAGTCGATTATATGTGAGAATTTTGGAGACCTGGAAGGCTAGCACAAATTAATACCACTCAATCAAATCTTTATTTGGCAAAAGCTTAATTGTCAAAACAAAATTCAGTCTGCAGGTACCCAAAACATATTTAAAAAGAGAAAATGGAAAGGCGTGATGCAATCGATGCGCAAACCTAATTTGTGCGATAACCAAAATTAAACGATTAAACGAACATATAATCTCAGATGTGGACGATTGGTTTGTGATGGAGATTTTCCTGATGTTGAGATATACATTAGAAACAAAAGAATTTTAAAAGAGCTTATAATTTCCTTACCTCTGTAAGACTGTTGCTTTCAATTAATGCAAGCAGGGTCAGGTGCCCTTTTCTGTCTAAAGTTTATACATGGTCAAAAGATGTATGAAATAGAGAGAGGCATGCAACTCAAATAGTTTTTCATGGAGTTAACAAATCATATATGTGTGTGTCTGTGTCTGTATGTGTGAGTGTGTGTGATCAAGAGTATGCACCCATGATATTATATAAAAGAGTATTATTTGATGGTGCCATAATTCAGGGGCCTTCTTCAATGATTGAAATATGTAAAAAGCAGCGAAG